AAACGGAGACGTAACACTATTATGGCATGACCCGCGTACACCATTATGTATCACTTTGACATAATACATTTTTGTTTTGTTAAGTATTGTAACTAATGGTTATTTCTCATATAATACATTACGAATTATTTGTTCCTTTTTGTTAAGATTCAAGCAAAACTGCTCAACAGTTTGTTTAAAATGTCCGTTACCTAATTTTGATGTGATATATTATAGGGAAGGTAGTTAGTCAACACCACCCACCGCCAACTTTTAAGCTACTCAAATCGAATAGTGTAATCTGACCAAACTCTTATAACGCGACCACGTCCCAAGCTTAGACGGTAACACGGATCCACAGTCCGGCACGTTAGCCACTGGACCATGCTCGGCCATTACGACTTGTAAATTTACCTTTCAAACCGTAATAATTATAACTGAGAGATAATGAATAACAAATGTTTGTAGGCGTTAATTACTGCTAGTAGAGGTTGACCAATGATGTCACTCTAAGATACACTAGCTTGAGAGACGGCAACCAGTCAACAGTATCAGCTGTTTGTACAGCTACTCTTAAACGAATAACGGGATTGACTGTCACAATTATAACGCTCCCACAACTGAAAGTACGAAGCATGTACAAAATCATATCACAGCTCGAATCTTGGACCTTCCGGATTACTTCAGACTGCTGTGATGTCAGTTGTCAGTCGTTAAAATCAAAACGAAGTATCGACTGAGTTTAAATTTTACGTACAATATGAATATGTGAAGATCAGCCGAGTTGCAGACATACTGAATTAACTCCATGGGCATTGAAGAGTTGTGATGAAAAATTAGACTACCAGATGGCGCTCAAAGTCGAAACCTTAAACGAACTTTATTTTGTGCAACTGCAACTCGAGTTGGCTTACAAAAAGCAAACATCCCTCCCCAAAAAAATAAACAACAAAAAAACTGCTTGATAAAATCATGGTTCAAATACCAGGCGTCACGAACAATGAAGGAAAAGCCACTATTTTAATTTTCAGAATCTCACATGGATAAAGCTTTATGCACAAAACTCAAATATATACATAATATCTAAAAGCAAGTTAAAAGTGTGGTAATTAACCTGATTCTTGACAGAAAGAAGTGGCAGAAATTGAAATTACATCCGTAACTGCGGGATTTTTTTTTTCAGGCATCGAAACTATGGTGTAATAAACTTATATAAAAACTAGATAAACATACAACGAGTAGATATTTAAAACGACAGACCTCAAATTATTACCATTATTAAATACCTCATATGTACAGTTTATCTCGTGACGACAAAATATGATATGACGTGTATTTCCTTGGCACCGAGTAGCTCGTTACTGAAATAATTTTGAAGTGACGCTTTTCTGTCTGTCAGGCCTTATTACGCTGGAATTCGGGATTCGATCTCCTAGTCTAAAACTGATCAAACATCCCTTTATACAGCTTTGAGTTAAAAAAAATAAGCAAAAAATAGCTCACGTTTAAAAGTATCAATATATTAAAACTAATATAAATCAAAAACATGTATTTCATCTGATCTGTCCAAGTTATTTCGACTCATGTTCCAGTTAAAACACATACTAACATCATAAAAAGATGCATTAAAA